TCAGAATTAAATACCCAATATTTAACTCTGTAGGCCTATTTATTCAATGACGATTTCAACAAAAATGGTACCAATTTATAACGCATCCCCAAAAACCTTAATAACAGACCCTCAACCTAAAGGATGAACGGTTTCTTGAAGGCTATAGCACCAAGGTTAACAAAGATTACCGTTCGAAGTTTAACACTGAATCTCAGACAGATTCTTTTTCGACTAACCAAACTCTACATCACATGACGATCTTTGATGACGACCCGTTTGTCATTTAATTGTAAGGGGAGCTGCATGCACATCTAAAGCGTGTATATTTAAAGGATTGTACGATTGTTGTGCCGTGGAGTGGGAGGTGAAACATTCACACGAGCGCTTCTGTGCATCACACGGAGGTCAGCAGCAGTTATAATTTGGGTCAAGCCATTACACCTTATGAACGTTACCCAACGCATGATGCTGACTAACGAGTGACCTATGATGACAGACCAAACTCCCAGTGTTTAAAATCATCTGGAGCTTTTCTGAACACACTCCGATGACTGCTAAATGACCCCAGCTATCAGGTCATGGCGAGGGCAGATATGTATTAGAATAGCGGAAACTAGGCAAGCTTTGGGAAAACGCCCTGGAATTGACCGGTAGACGACCTCCATGTTGATCGTAACGAGGGGTTCATTTTAGTTTAGCTACTTGCAAGCAATCTGAATACTTCTAATAGAAACAATCGCTTTTTTTCTTCATAAAAACAGCTTTTTCATGCAGCACTTTAGGCATAAATTTGAATTGGCAAGTCAGCAAAAAAACAAAACCACAAAAACAATCTCAAATCCAATCAGAAGCATGAGACAACTAGTATAATCTCACGAGCTGAAACACAAGACCTGCTCTTTGATGAAACCATCTTCGTGGCTTCAGGGTCTTGAACAGAACACACCACTGATGTTGACCAAAATATGACCTGATGTTGACCGAGAGATGAACTGAGGCCGCAGACTGACCCCTCTGTCGTCATGGCTGCCAGCTGACCCCTGGAAAGGTCACAGAGATCACGGCCTGTGGTCCGATCAACGCTGGACACAAAGAGTCAGTGAGAAGAATGAGAAAAGAAACATAGGGAGCGAATAAGAGAGTGAAAGAGAAAAGGAAGACGTGGGGTCAGAGGTCACTATCTAAGCTCTTCCTTTCACCATTTCATCATCCTCTGTCCCTCCTTTTTCTCTTCTGCGCCCTCATTTTGACTGACCTCTGACTTCGACGTGTGTTTCGGGGAACGCTTGGCCTGACCTGACCATGAACGCATCCCAAAAACTGCTAATAACACTATTCATAAGAACTGTTTTTATATCGACAGTAAATTCCTGCAAGTTCAGTTTAATTAAGAATGTTTGGACTGCTTTATTTGAGCAAAGCAAACATAAAGACATAATTGAAGTTATACAAGTACAAAAGCTAACTGAGTAAATTAAGTAATAAATATCAAGATGGTTTAATGCCCATTTCAGTTCAATGTTACTTATTATTTCATGGTAAGATTACTGCATTAATTCAAATTATTTAAAATTGTTATTTTGTACTGCAGACAAATACCTAAATACTATTATTCTCAACATGGCTTTAACAATCCGTTTTAAGATATGAAGACTAAGGAAATATGTGCAATTGGTTTCCAACATTTCTTCAAGTAAACTAAATCAATTTTATGAATCTAAATCGGCAATATTCCAATACAATGAAGAAAAAAAATACTGTTATTTTTAGACTTGTTACAGATTAAATTCCCTGAAAACCACTGCTTCAAGTAAATTTGCGAATAGTGAACACAGCAAATAATCAGTATTTTTCTATTGTTTTCCAGAAAGCATATATATATATATAATTATCTCAAAAAGATATTTAGGATATTCGTAAAGAATTTCTGTGACTCTAATATATATATAATAAAATAAAATAACTCAAGCTATATTCTCTGGAAACCTTAAATCTTAAGAAAATCTGCTTTAAGTAAATTTATGTATGCCAAACACTTTGATAATTTGAACAATTTCTTTAGAGCTTTTATTATTATTATTTTCCAGTACAACTATCTAAATATCCTAAAAACACAACTACTCAGTATATTTTATTTACACGGCAATTTAAAAAATTGAAACAGTAAAATAAAAGCTTAATTCAAGATATGTTCTCTTAAAACCAATCTTTCAAAAAGTAAAGTATATTTATCATGTTTTAAAGATGTTTTCCACTAAAACTGAGAAAGTAAATACTGACTAAAAGAGATGAATGGCTGTAATCAATTTGATTTTTGGCTAAATCAATTTATTGATTTATTATTTCCTCTTTGTGTTTTTTTTTCTATCATCGCCAAACCCGAGCAGGTTGCAGTCCCTGATAATTGTAAAACCGAACTAGATCAACAAGAACTGTAAAATATAAACTCAAAAGACACATTAGCAGCGGTGGGCATTTTGATCTCCGTCAGAAGCTGTCATGAGGGATTTTCACTGTCTACATGTTCCTCTGAACTCAACTATCGAATCATAAACAGATCTAAAGGACTACGGAGGGATCTAACCTCTGATACTCTGCGTGATTCAACGTCCTGTCGCTGCAAAGCACATCGACACAGTGTCAAAACAGCTGATCGATTCTGCCGCTGCATCTGAAATAAGTACAACATGCTGTTTAAACCTATAGAAGATTACAGATGAAAAATATGCAAGAATAGAAACACAACAGCAGGTATTCGAGATGGAAGACGGAGCAAGGAAGTGGACCGCTGACCTCTGACCCCTGAATCGCAGCAAGAAAGCGATAGATAAAGAAGCGGTGTTTGATGTGTTCGCGCAGTACAGTGCCAGCTTTGGCTTTCAGCACGAGAAAGAATGTTAAAGACTTCAGCACACATGGGCTACAGATATATTACACCTCGGCTCACAGCGGGAGAACGGGAGGACGAGCGAGAGGTGAGGGGGCAGAAATAAAGCAAAAGAAAAGAAGACATTGTCAAGAGGACGAGATGGAGAAGAGAAAGGAGTGGAACGTTCTGAAGAGGATGGTTTAAATTGAGATGAAAGGCTCGGCGGAACAGAAGAACACTGCTTCCCTCTGTGCCGCACTTATCAGGCCCTTCACACGCAGGTCTCTCAGGTCACGTATCTGTTACAGTGTCTGGGAACGGCCGCTATCTTCATAGGAGGTGACATTTAGGGCGATCCCAGTTAGGGCGCCCTCTGCTTTGCACACAGACAACGGCACGCATTTCCTTTCATCTATTATTCTACAGGTACAATAACACATCTTGTTGAAAAAATATGAGAGCATTAATGAATAAGGTATGATTTTATATATATTACCAAAAAAAAAAACACTTAATTCCTTTTAAATTAATTCACAAGTAAATACACAAGAATGTTTAAATACAAAGGCATACTTGTTCTATATGCATTAAATTGTATATTTATGTCATAAATTCAAGGCAAGAAAGATTTAGCGACATTTACACTTTACTAGTATTCTGCAAATATCGATGACCTTTAGAATTAAAAATCAAGATTTTAGGTTCTAAACTACAGGGTTTTATGACAAATAAGGATGTCTTGGATGATAAGGGAAAACCTACTTTAAAATACTAAAAATGTAATCTGTGTGTCCATCTTGGATCTGTATATTTTTGAAAATCGTTTACTAATTTCAGTGAATATTTAATTTAACAACTCTAAAAATCAAGACGTGTAACCATTAAGTACCAAAATGCTATCCTTGTGCCTAGGAAAATCATGAATAAAGGCATTTTCTTAGGCTTACTTCATCTAGTCTAAGCCTTTACATAAAACGGTCAAAATGTGTGATTTTTCCTTTTCAACTTAATGACTTATTTAGAAACATGAAACCACAAACTTGAAGATTTATATAATATATAATTTGACAACATTAAGAATATTACAAAAAAATTGAAAACATTCCTGTTAATGAGACTTCCTACAAAAAAAATATATATCTCCAGACAGTTAAAATACTTTTTCTTTTTTTGGGGGTTGTTGTTAACCTTAAGGTCCAAAAAAATCAGCAATCTATTTACACAAAAATGTCATTTAGTTTATGAATTGAAAAAAATAAAAGTATTGTTATATAATTTATATTTCAAATGTATTTTTGAAAAACATATGGCTTAACGAGCGTCAGTATTTATTACATATGCACAAGTGTATATTTTAGATTTTGCAACTATTTGAATAATCTTTTTGCTTTCACTAGTTCATTTAAAAATCATGCAGTGGCAAATGTTTAGAAATATTGTACACAAGTTCCAAAACATTTTAAGTTAATAAAAAACAATATATGCAATAATTGCAAATTATTTAGACAAATTTTATGATAAATATCACATATAGGTGTTTAAAACAAACAACTCTTCAACAAAGCCATCTTTAATACATTTTAAACATTCGTTAGTAACGAAAAGGCCAGAGTTACTCCCAAGCGCCATCTGGCGGCGAGACGAGGCACTGCAGCCGAGCGCCGCTCTGTCACTGTCCGCCTCGGCGGTAAATAAAGCAGGCCGCGGTGGACAGCCGGGTTTTTCTATTTCACGCTATGAACGGCTCTATGGACACATCTGACAAGCAGATGCTCTAGGCGGGATTACATTCCTCTTCCTCGATGATGGTGTATCGATTTTTATTTCCCCAACAGACAGTGCCGATAACTCAACGTTAGCCGACCTAGGCTTCATCTGCATCAGGAAATAATCCATTCCAAGAGTTTGTGAAAATCAGAAGCAAAATATTTCCTTTTTCTCCCTGTCCGCTATTTGAAATCATCTCACTACAATAAAGTGCCAAATCATTTACAAAGACGCCACGCTTACAAGAAAGCATCTTATTTCGAGAGAAACTTGACGCTAAGTGTATGAATATCATCAAATTTATTGTTTAATGTTGTTCATCTAGCATTACTTGTACTTCATGTGAGTCGTCAAACCATGGTTTGTGTTTGTTTTGCATTACCTTGTGTTTCTCTGCAGCTTGCAGTGCACTTATACTTTCACGGTTGTGTTCGGGAAATGAGCTGTTTGGTTTTCTACCGGTAGATGGCAGAATAACACAACTTTTCACCAGTTTGGTGACATTATTCAGACACAAGGGGGCAACACGCCCTCAACAGCAGTGTTTTTTTCTACAGCATACACTAAGTGTAATAGAAAGTAATCACAAGAAAGAAAGAAAGAAAGAAAGAAAGAAAACCCGTTTTACAGTGGTTCTCAGCCTTTTTGACTCCCCATTTTTCCACAAAAACAATTTACTGGACTGAAGCAACTTAGCTTTACTTGGGCCTAATATTTTAGAAAAATCACGTAAAAATAATCAAATATGATACAATCGTCTTTTGAGGACCGATTGTCATTATTGTAGCTTTACATTACATATACATAAACTACAGAACTTTGATAGTAACATTTAAATGTCATTTTTGATCACACTGATTTACATTACAAGCTCAGAAATTTATCTTACTTTTTTGGCCATATAAATAACAACATCCACACCAGATTACATATTTTAGCTCAGTTTGGGTCTCTACATTAAAAATGAGGTGTTTTTACCTATTCTCACTAGGCCTATATCATACTATACTGTATGTGCCATAAAATCCTGATGTATCAAATATGATTAAACAAAAATAAAACTCATGCATATTTTATTTTATTTTTTGTCTAAAAGTTTAATAAACGATTGCATTTTAAAAATAGACTTTCTGACATTCTTATTGTGCTCAGAGTTGTGGGCCGAACAGTCTACCAGCCTAGATCACGGTCGCCGTGATTTTGCCAAGTAAGACATGATCAACATCTTTTGTTGATCCTGGATCAACATTACTGTTCAAAAATACAGACTTAACCCAATCCCCACCCCTAAACCTAACCTTACCCATAATTTATTCCTAAAATCAGAGGGAAATTATAGCTGATTAACAAGGGTGTAGAAGCACCTAACCCTGATCATAAGCCTAAAACAGATATTTCCTGAAAAGTTATCCCTCAATTCTGATTGGTTGATTGGAATGCTGTTCCAGGATCAGCAAGGATGTTGATCCAGGAACATGTTGTACTTGGTGAAATCACGCTCACCCTTAGATCACATTACAGATTTTTTAATCTTTACTTAAAACACATTTTCCATTGCTTTTAATGTCCCCTGATGTTTAAATTGCACTTGATTTCTGTTGGTTTCTATTTTATTTTTTATTTTATTCTGGATTTTTTTTGTCTGTGATTTTATCTTTTTACCTTTTTATTTTTGGTTTCTTTTAGTTGATGCTGTAAAGCAACACTGGTCAGCTGTCGCTGTTTTAATGGTGCTATATAAATAAACTACATTTGAAACTTGAACTTGATACTTACTGACTTTCATATCAGGCTTTACATAGAGATAAGAATTTTTAAATAATTTTACTCACAATTTCTACCTGATAAAATAGGAATCTTGGCAATTAGTAAAATGTATATTCGTTATTAAAATGCTCTTTGCGTTATGATTTTATCAATCTGCTTGACTTTTTCAGGTACAGAATTTTCAAGTGTTGAGGTTGCAGGAGCCACAAGATTTGAATAGCAAAAAAATAAAAATTGTTCAGCCAATTCTTTGTGCAAATCATGCCATGTGAGCCAAGCTGTGGTTTTATCATCACTGCAGATCTCTCTTGCGTCTCGAGTCCCTACAGATCAATAGTTGTGATGGATTCAGTAAAATTGTAGGTTGTGTCCATGGTTACGAGTGTCAGCTGCTGCAATGATGCAGAAAGCTGGACATTATAAACAAGACATGCAGGAACATTTCAGGGAACCCTGATAGAATTGAAACTATTCTCTTTACTCTGTAGACTTGCCTGACAAATAAGTTATGAATGTGTAACTTTGCCTCCCACAGTATTACTGAGAGTCTGATTTCTGTGGTTTATGTACAGTAAGTGTGCCTTTTGAAAATGAATTAGATGCTTTACAATGTTGTACAAATTCCATATTTGTATTATTTGTGACCTTAAAATAAGTGGAAGCAACTGAAATCCACTGATTTTAATACTGACAAATTAGACAAGATATAATGATATAATAAAGCAAGACAATATGTACAATAACGTGAAATACATTCCATAAATACATCATTTTCAGTCTAGTTTAATTGGGGTACTGGAGTACTACTTCATTCATTCATGCTTTAATTTGATTTCAAATTAACGTTAACATATGTAAACTGTTCAAATTTTTATTTATTTATTTTTGAAAGAAATTAATACTTTTATTCATCAAGGATGCATTAAATTGATCAGACGTAACAGTAAAGCGTAAAGACATGTAATGTTAGAACGTAACAAAAGATTTCTAGTACAGAAAAAAAAATGCTGTTCTTTTGAAACTTTTATTCATTAAAGAATCCTGAAAAAATGCATCGTGGTTTAAGCAGCACAGTTGTTTTCCATATTGATAATAATAAGATGTTTCTTCAGAAGCAAATCAGCATATTAGAATGATTTCTGAAGGATCATGTGACACTGAAGACTGGAGTAATGATGCTGAAAATTCAGCTTTGCATCACAGGAATAAATTACATCTTAAAATATATTTAAAAAGAGTCATTATAAATTGTGATAATATTTAATATATTTTCATACATGTATATACATAATAGAGGAGATATTTCATATATTACTGTTTTTACTGTATTTTTGGATCAAATAAATGATTGATTCTTGTCATTAAAAAAACAAAAATCTCACTGACCCCAAACTTTTGAAGAGTATATTGTATGCAGTGGGCCAATAAAGTATTTGGACACTTACTAAGTCTCACTTAACGTATAAATGTCATTGGTTTTCAAACTTGGAGGGACACATGTGTGAACTTGAGCAGTTGGTTAAAAGTGATTGCAAAATGGCTCAGAAAAGTGAAGTTAGTTCTCAGGAAATGGAGGTCTATCTACACAGACATTTTTAACATGGTCTAAGCTAAGCATATACATATTTTAAGGCCATTGCTGCAGTCACCAGCAAATAGGCCCTATGTGCCAAAAAAGGGACACCAAATGATGTCACTGAGATACTGTAAGTTGGCAAGAAATAAAAAGGGATCTTTAGCAGCAGAGTTTTTGATAAGATTATAAACAGAATAAAATATTTATATATTCAGAGTAAGTCATTAGTTATCAAGTAAGTTACATTCTTTACCATTAATGTATTCTGATTTCTTATTAGCAGAATCTGGATTGACAGCCATGTGCCACAAAACCCCAGTATATACTGACAGAAGTTTTTGGAGAGAAAGGACAGAAGCAGAGTTATAATTTCATATCCCCACCCTTGCAGACGCTGCATGAGACAATATAAATATCACCTTCTGTTTGCGGATGGTGTGGCTGGTTTGTTTGAGTAATGAGATAATTAACTCAATCACCACACTCGGACAGATGATGAATTTTGTTAATGCTTCTCCTTTGTTCTCCACTCATTTCTGAGCAGGCCTTTTTCCTCTACATTAACCCGACATGCGCACACACACACACACACACACACACACACATCTGAGCAGGCCTTTTTCCTCTACATTAACCCGACATGCGCACACACACACACACACACACACACACACACACACACTCTCTCTCTCTCTCTCTCTCTCTCTCTCTCTCTCTCCATGCATCTTCTTATTTGTGGAGTATGCGATTGCAGCGATGCAAGTGGGCCAGAGAGATGAGCCCCTTACTAAAGTGGAACTGCAACAGGGCAAAACTAAATACAATAGAGGCTTTTTCATATTCTCTGTGCACAAGGTCAACATCCTCTCGTTCAGTGGGGCAAAGTGCAGCATTGTGCAACAGTCTGGTGAACCGTCTTCAGTTCCACTCCCAACCTTCAGCAGGTGTCTTTTCACATTGCACTTTTAGGTCTTATTTTAGGTCGCCAATTTTAGGTCTTAACCACATTAGGCTTGTTCACTCACCGGATAAAAGGTCCAAAAGCTGTTACCAAAAGCTGTACAACATTTTATGTTGCTGCCTTATGTTAAACTGTTTTAAATTACTTCCTTTTTTATCAAGCTACAATCCATAGATGTGTGACAACTTTGCAAATTTACTAAAGGAAAAACTGAAATAAGTACACTGTAAAAAAAAAAATCAAAAGTTGAGAAAACTTAAACGTTTAAGGCAACCAGCTTCAGCAGATTTTCTACTTTTCTCAACTTGACTTGTAGGATTGTTTTTTAGTTTTCTCAACTTTTTTTCTGTATAAACTGAATACAATAAGTTGAGAAAACTCAAAAATGTCCTGAAGCTGGTTGGTTGCCTTAAACATTTAAGTTTTCTCCACTTTTGATTTTTTACAGTGTACATTGCATAAGTATTTAGTTGAAGCACCTCAAGTGATTTTGGGTATGACACGACAAGTTTTGCACATCTGCATTTGGCAATTATCTGCCATTCTTCTCCTCACCTCTTCACCTCTCGAGCTCTGTCAGGTTGGATGGGGCAGACGCACATTTTCAGGTTTCTCCAGAAATATTTGATTGGGTTCAAGCTCAGGCTCTGGCTGGGCCACTCAAGGACATTCACAGAGTTGTCTATAAGCCACTCTTGCTGTGTGCTATAGGGTCATTGTCCTATTGGAAGGTTAACCTTCTGCCAGTCTGAGGTTCTGAATGCTCTGGACTGGGTTTTCATTAAGGCTATCTCTATATTTTGGTGCACTGAGCTTTTCTTCTACTCTGATGAGTCCCTCAGTCCCTGCCACTGAAAAACAGCCCCTCAGCATGAGGCTGCTACCAGCACACTTTACTTTTGGGATGCTCCTCTGCAGGTGATGAGCAGAGCTGGTTTCCTTCAAACATGATGCTTGAAACTGAGGTTCATCAGACCAGAGAATATAGTTTCTCAGAGTCTGAGGGTCCTTCAGGTGCTTTTTTTGCAAATTCCAAGTGTGTTTTCCTGTGTCTTCACTAGGGATGTAACGATTCACTCAACTCATGATTCGATTTGATTCACGATTTTGATTTTACGATTCAATTTATTTTTTTATTTTATTTTTTTTTTTACAAAATGAGTCTCGTTGGCAGTGCCAGCTGGGCGTTCTGCCGCTGGGCACCGGAAATGACCTGGCGCGGGTGCTCGGCTGGGGGCCGTCCTGTGACGATGACACTCAACTCCCTCAGATACTGGAGAAGCTGGAGCGAGCCAGCACCAAGATGCTGGACAGGTACAGAGCACACACTAGCATGACCACAAATATGTGACCCTGGACCACAAACCAGTCATAAGTAGCACAGGTATATTTGTAGCAATAGCCAACAATACATCGTATGGGTCAAAATTATCGATTTTTCTTTTATGCCAAAAATCATTAGAAGTTCCATGAAGATATTTTGTAAATGTCCTACTGTAAATATATAAAACCTTAATAAGTAACACAAATAAAAGAAATCTCTTCATATAAACAAACTAAGGCTTTGTCTGTGCTCTTTCCTTTTAAAATTAGAGGCAACCACTGCATTTTAATCATGATCCAAACAAAGATGCTGCATACATGCAACATGAGCAGTTTTTAATCTAAATTAGATTGTATAATTTCGAAATTTGAAGCAAAAACAGAATGCTTTTTATATAGCTGATATATAGCTGATTCATGTGTGTTTGATTAGGGTTGGAACTGAACTCTGCAGGACAGTGGGTCCCCAGGTTAAAGATATGCATTAGACAATAACAAGTGACCAAAAGAATGGAAAGACGCAATTTATACATCATAAATGGACTGATTGCAAACTGTAGTTAACATGAGCCATAGCTACATGTGTTTTCTACATTTTGATACCAAGGACCTTCAAAACTTGCATACTGTTTAGGATAAACAGTAAATCATAATACAAGTGCATTGTTTGTGCAACTGAATGCTCAAATAGTTTACTTACCTACATTTCCAACAGTCTACGATTAATGAAATCAGGCCAGGTCTCACAGGGATCTAAACCAACAGAAGAGGGAAAAATAAACTCCTATTCTCTTGTAACAGCAGCCACGACAATAAGGTGTCCTTCCATTTTTTTTTCTATAAAAATAGCAAATAGAGACTGTTCAGAATTTAGTTTACACTGCCACAAACTTTTTTTAGATAAATATATTTTATAGTTATATCGATGTTCGTAAATCTAACATTATATCCAGACTGTTCAGTCCTGAGAAAAGCTATGCACGCTCCAAGAGCTGTCAAACTCCCTTCCCTCACTGTAAAATGAATATACAGTATATTGAAATTTTGAATAAACCTCAGGCATTTGGGTTCTGAAGAACAACATTGTGCCTCAAGCATCTTTTTATTTTTAAAGTGTGCATGTAAAACTACAACTCCCAGGATGCACGACCCACTATGTACACAGATATGTTTGGTTGCAATTGGTGGGTTGCCGATATCAATGTTTATAAATACACTAAATCTAAATGTAACACTCCAAGAGCTGTCAAACACCCTCCCCCACTGTAAAATGAAACAAACCTGAGGCATCTTTGAGGTAAAATTCAACATTAAAGGGATAGTTCTCTGAAAAACCTTTGAAGAACCACTAAAGGCTCTCAGTTTGGTTATCTCTCAGTGTAGCCCACCTATCCTAACAAACCATACATCAATGGAAAGCTTATTTGTTCAGTGTATACATCTCAATTTCAAACAATTGAACCTTATGCCTGGTTTTGTGGTGCAGGGTCACATATGTGAGGCATTTCCAAGTGTTCTGAGGAACCACATTGTGCCTCATCCCCCCACCCCACTCCACAGTGCGCCTCATCCCCCCACCCCACTCCACAGTGCGCTCCTAAAACGACAACTCCCAGGATGCACCACTCGCGTACGTACACAGGCACGCTCGGTCGGACTTGGCGGGTTACTGGAGCGTTCGTGTAGACCTTTTGTCTGACCATCTGAAGAACCTCGATAAAACAACAGCAAACTCTGTCTCCAGTCGACAGATTTCAAACGTTTCTCGACACTTAAAACCGGTCTAGCTGCACTGAACCACCTAATTCGGTGATATTTCGCCTTTAATTCAGAAATTCAAAGGTAAGTGGCTCTGCGTGCACGCCGTGCAGACTGAAAACAACTGTAGGATTGACTTTGTATTAGGAAATGTGATTTCTCATATATATGCATAAATATATACATACACCAAACAAGCGGATGTGTTGAGTGCTTTAAGCGACACCCTGCTCTTTAATAATATTCCAGTTATATTTGAGAAATTGTTGGTAGTTTTCTGATCGGATCTAGGTCAACATGGAGAAGTGGCGACCATGCTTCTGCAACATTAGCCAGCAGGCTAGTCGGTGTCTCGTATTTAACGGCCATTTTAGGTTTGTAAAGTTAAAATTAAGGTGCGTGGGAATGTCTTAATGCGTGTATTTATCGGACAGCATAAATGTAGTTGATGTCTTGGTACCTTTTGGCCCCACAGTTGTGCGGGCAAAGGGTCGGTCTAGCCCGCCATCTCCGCGCGAGGCAGGAACGCCTTTCTCGTGCACGCGAGGCGTTCAGTATGGGGCTCGGGAAAACCATTTTACAGAGATTTACATGCGGTTTACAGTTGCATTGTCACCTTAAAATGTAACGTTTGGCCTCACTGGCTCGTGTTTAGCGCTGCAGCGTCGAATATTCTGGCAACCGGAAGGTTGGTTAAATCAAATACTTCAGTGCGCGCGAGGCGTGATGGTCTAAACATACAGTTTATCAATAACGTTAGAAATAAATAATCCTGTACACAGTCTTCTTTCTTTAAGCAGTGAAATTAGCTCAAGTGTTAAGAATAATTATGGTCAAATTAGCTCAAGTGTTTAGAATAATTGTTAATGAGATTTAACAAAATTAATACTTTAAAAATGTCCAGAATCTTGGCTTGCAGCTTAATTTGTTAGATTTTGTTATAGTTTTATGCCCTTTTTTGGTGCCACATCTCAGTATTACAGCCTGGTGAGTGTTTGCTAAGAGCAAAACACGTGTGTGTTGTTTTTTTTTTCTGTTAAAGCATCTACTAAACAAAACAAAAATTGAGGGAAAACCGTTTAATAAAATTACAAGATATTTTTTTAAATAGTGTCTTTTAAAGTCATCTAATGATTCTTGTTCTAAATATGTCTGACAGGATTTTTGGTATATAAACTATTAGGGATGCTCCGATCGATCGGCCAGAGGTCGGTATCGGCCGATAATCACGTTTTATGACTCGATCGGTACTCACTACACTTGGCCGATCTCACGAACTGATCACAATTTGATGACGTCAACGCGTGACGACGTACGTGATGCATGGGGACATAAATGATTTGGCGCCACAGTCATGTCACCGCCAGTGTGGAAATGCTATGACGTTTTGAGAAACAATGAAAAATTCGCTATTTGAGAGGTCGGTATCGGCCGATAATCACATTTTATGACTCGATCGGTACTCACTACACTTGGCCGATCTCACGAACTGATCACAATTTGATGACGTCAACGCGTGACGACGTACGTGATGCATGGGGACATAAATGATTTGGCGCCACAGTCATGTCACCGCCATGCGCCGCCAAGATGGCGACGGCCGGCTCCGCCCACTTTTGAGCTTCAAAAACGCTCTTCGGAAATCTACGGGTGACGTCATGAACACTGCGTCCATGTTTTTATACAGTCTATGGTTACGGCTCCACGGGAACCGGAGCTGATCGCGGCCGCTCTAATGCTTGTGCTTATACCAGCCAGCCGTGGCACGTTTCTGAAGCGGCTCTCAGCGCTGCTTGGCTAAAAATAGTATTTTGTGTGTAGTCACAGTGTGGAGGATGGAACAAAACCTCGTCAGAGCCGTAAGGGATAACGGTAACATAACACGCTGATCGTGGGCTGCTTTTAAATGAACATTTATTTATAAAACAAAATATCATCTTTGGCCATATTAGCCTACTCAATAGCATTAACACAGGCTTTACTCCTTTCAAACTTTATCTGGAATGTCACCGTTTCTGTCAATGCAACTTCCCTATCAGGCCAACGAACACACACACAAAATCGTCTGCCTCATGGGAAAAAATGTATAAAAAAAAAAAAGTAGTTAATATTTGCGTCCTTTGATTTATTTTATCCACCCGTGATCCACCCGCAAATAATCAGAATGCATTTTTTATTACCCGACCCGCGGATTATCCGCAGTGCCCGTGGATAAAAGCTAAATATGTTTGCTGCGTAAATCAGACGGACTTACTGAAAATGCACATTTATTTTCTGCCAGCAGGAGGTGCTTTAAAGCGGGAGAAACAGAGGTTTCCCCAGTAACGGCTGTACACAAAGCAGCGCTGAGTTCACAAACGCTGCTTTATAGGGGTGCAACGGTTCTCGGTAAAAAATCGAACCGTACGGTTCTCCACACACGGTTCGGCATGCACTAGGACCGCGGTTCAACTTAAATCTGACAATGCATCTGTAATATGGTTTGTTAGAGTTCGGCTAATGCATGTTTCTGTTGATGGATACAAATTCTGGCTTCCCAATACATTACAACAAGAGTGATGAGAGAAAAAAAACAATACGTGGACAAACCAGTCACTCTTTGTTCAGTGTGAGTGCTGTATGCTGGAATAACTCATTTATGCCGTCATCACGCGTTGATAGCGCAGGTGAGACCTGAACAGCACACGTTGCTATCTGTGTTTAAACTAAACTCATTTAAGCCTTGCCAGTTTAAATATTAAAGAGCCAGAAGACGCGAACTCGCGCGCACAGTGAGAAGGTCTTTGTGTGCGCTCATCCGAAGCGCGTGAACCCGCGTCTCAGAACGCGCGCAAATATTAAGCTCTCTTTGAAGTATTGTGCTTGAATGGACAAATTCACACAAAAATTGTCAAAATGCCTGTCTTGGTGAGTATCCTAGCAGACATAGTCGGCTGAACAAACAGTATCAGTGCGTTCTCTTAAAGTGACAGCACTTTCTTAAAGTTTATTAAACGGCAACAACACGGAAATCACTCATTGCTCTTGATTGAATAACTTTTGTAACTTTAATAAGGAATAATTTTTAATTTATAGTCAAATATGCAATGTTATTTTACATTTGATTATTCAATTTCTGTACCTAAAAACTGTTTAGACGTACCTAAAAAACCTGAAAAGCACTGTTTATTTTATTTGTATCTTTATTTTTATTTGACAATATAGTTTTTTCCCTAAACATAGCACATACCAAACCGTACCGAAACCGTGACTTTAATGGCACTTTTCCACTGCGTGGTACAACTCGGCTCAGTACGGCACGGTTTGCGTTTCCACTGCAGTTCAGTACCGCTTTAGAGTGGGCGGGATTATTCACGTCGTTATAGTTGCGTCGCCTCTACTAACACGACTCCTAAAAAAAAAAAACTTTCATTCCGCGTCGCCCCATCAAGCTCTTGCTGGACCCGCTCCTCTGCTATCCTCTGCTATCAACTGCTATCTTCCGCAACAGACGACAAAACTTTTTTTTTGGCAAAAGGCGCGCTCGTTCATAACGGTTGCGTTCGATCCTTCGCTGGCTGTGCTGATTTCAATCTAGCGGTTCTGTTGTGTTTGTGTCTAGGGATGTAACGATTCACTCAACTCACGATTCGATTCACGATTTTGATTTCACGATTCGATTCACGATTTTTTTTAACACAATGAGATTTAAGACAAATTATAAATTAAATGTGTCCTTTTATTATTGCTTAGACAAAATACTGTACGTTTCTTTGTGAAATTGAAATATAACACTATAATAATATACTAATATAGCACTTGCATATTATTGCTCTTTAGTTGGTTTTGATTGCTTCTATTGTCCTCATTTGTTAGTTGCCTTGGATAAAAGCGTTTGCTAAATAACAAAATTTTAATGTAAATGTAAATAACAAAACTAAATTGAAAATTTAAAACAAGCCCCAAATCAAATAAATAAGTAACACAAATAAAAT